TTCCAAATTTCTAAACAGAAAAAAACTGCCTGTGTCAATAGGCTACCACATAAACATTATATATATTACACATACATACTTGCGTATATATACATACACAATTATACACGTAGGATTTTGAAAAAATTTTATTTGGTAGAACAAATCTCTCTTTGTTAGATTGAGATATTCAGGATTTAGCTATGAATTATCATCATGCCAGACCTATTCTTTTTGTCCACTATACAGAGCAAAAACTTGATTCATTGCTAAATGCCTCTGATATAAATGACCATTGAAAGATAGTCATTTATATTAAGGTGACCAATTTTTTTACAATGAAAAGGAGGACACTAATAAATTGAAGGAAAAATATTGTAAATAAAAAAAAACATTTTATTCATTGCAACAATAATACACTATAATAATCTCTACTGCATGCATAGGTGCCATGTCGTGTTTCGATAAGAACTAAACAAAGCCATTTGCACACTCTCTCTCTCTGAAGGTCTCCTGTGCAAAGAGCATGCATCTCATAATTGTATCTCATTGCACTGTACAGAGCCTCAATGAATCGTCATGCTAAATACAAACGTGTCATATCACATCACACACAATGGATCGGTTCAGCATTGATTGAATACGGAGATTTACAGATTAGTCTTTAAATATCAAAAAGGAAGACATACAGGAGGACACTTTTTGACGGAGGACAAACTTACAAAAGGAGGATGATTGGTCACCTTATTTATATAGATCTCAAATCTATTCTCATACATAGGTTTTTAAGCAGATTTCTTGGCATGGGATCTTGTCCTAAAACCAATGTTCATTGGTACATTTCTTATAGTTTGATCCAAGACAGTATTACCTGTCTCATCTTTATACATATTATTTAATTTGGAGACTGAAATTTCAGGACAAATGTCTGGCAAAATACCATCAGATAGAGGGCTGTATACAAAAAATAGAGGTCTGTTCTGTTATATCCAACATCATTGACACTCTCAAGTGTGTTATGGAAATCAAGCTTTCAGCTGTTTATATATGTAAATTTCAGTTCTTGGTAAACACAGCCATCAAAGGATCAACTTGTATATTAGGAAAAAAATATGCAAAAAAATTATTTCCTGTATGGTAATTTTAACTATATAATAAAAAGTTTTCACTTTACCAATAGTATATGTCAATAATATAACTACTGTATATAACAATAATACAATTTACTATAATAAAACTTTAATATGAGACACATTATTAAGGTTTGATTTACTACGGCTCACTTAACGACTGTTTACCAGGAACAAATCAGACGGTAAGAGGGAGTTCACGAATTCCAATTTACATATAAATCTCAGATTTCTTAACTTTAATGTTGTCCATTAGGCTTCTTTCAAATTCTATTTCAGTCTTAATAAAAATCTCACTTCATTTCACATATTTCATATAAACCATTGGATCTATATTATAAATCTTCAAAAAATAATCTTACTTGTTTCAATTCTTGTATTTGCAAAACTTCTGTATTAGTTCAAAACAAATAAATAAATAAATATGTAAATGTCCACATTGAAATTTGAATAAAATACAATAAATATGAAAAGAAACAAATATATTTTTTAATTTTTAAAAGAAATGCTTTCCTCTCAATTAGGAATAAGTTTGAACAAAACCAAAATCAAGAGAATTGGAACAGAACAAATATTTGAACATGCAGAAGACTAAATGATCTGACAAATTTATTTTCCAAAGTCTCCAATGAAGATGGGAATTCACTAACTTAATCAGGAAAAATTGTAGAAAAATAGTATTCTTGAATCAAAGAAAAAATATTAATTGCTACTGCAATCAAAAAATAAAAATATTTTTTAACTATCTTTGATGACACTTCATTATATAAAACAAAGTTATTTACAATAACAAATGTTTTGTTCTCATTTTTGTCATATTCACTCAAATAGACATATATATATATATAACTTAATCTATGCAATAATGGAGCTTTACAGTACATTAGAATGTAATAAAAATTTTCTTCATTGCAACTCTAGACAATAGAAGTTTCGAAAGTAACGTGATCAAAAAAGCAAAAACAGTAAAACAGAAAAGAATTAGCATAGAGCATTGAAATTCATACTAAGAGCATAAGGTTGCATGGTCAATTATTGCATGCCAATGACATCATTGTTAGTATCACTAATGATGCTGCTTGCCAATTTGTGATTTCAATAATATTCTTAATGAGAAATTAAAGTATTTTTCCTTTTTCCGTAAATAAAGTAATTCAACAAAGCTGTTTTGGTGTTTATGAATTTTTACTACCAGTTAATAGTAGCGTAATCTATTAGTGTAGCCATTAATCCTGTTCCTTATATTATAAAAACTGCATAAATACTATTTTTGGCAACAAAATCTTTTTGTCTATCATTTAAAATATTTTTGCTGATTTTTTCCAAAACTTTACATAGAGCTCCAGTGGCAGATTACCCAATAGATGCACTAGGCACACGCCTAGGGCCTTGTCGTCTTGCGGACCTAAAAAATTACAAAGATATATTATGCCTCTAAAACTTGGTGAATATTTAAAGAGCTTTAAAAAACTTTTTATTATTTAAGGATTTTATTGTCTTTTTAATATAAAAGAATACTTTGACATAAAGGGCCTTATAAAAAAAATTGTGTCTAGGGCTTCAAAGAAGCATAATCTACTACTGTAAAGTTCTATTATTGAAAGCACTCTTTGAATAGTATATATATATATATCATAGCTCTGATGTATTCAAATCCTATAACAACCAACAAATTTTAATTATATAACAATTTATATATGGAATATTTAGGTATTTTTTAATTTTTATTAGGAAAGTAATAATAATTTATAAAAAAAAAAGACTAGATCTGGAAATATTTAGAATCTATACTCTCTGGAATTAGCTTTGAAGCACAAGCTTATTGCCTAACACTCATTGTGAGGACCCGAACAGGGGTCAACCGAGAGGTCCGAATTATGGGTGTCGATTTAAAATAAAAAGTTCCTTTTCAGACACTAAGGAAACGGATTAGGTGTCTCGAATGAACAATGCAATTGTTTTTTTTTTTTCGTAAATTTGTTAAACAATGGAAACAGATAAATTCGAGGAAAACGCGACGAGAGAGAGGAATCATATTCAATCGCAACGTTGACCTCTCCCGCGCCCTTCATTAGGTTTCGAATTGTCACCAGGTGACTATGAGAGACCAATGGAGAGGCGACGACGGTTAAGAAATCTATAAAACCGTGCGACTCAAGGGACAAAGGTTCTTGGTTCTTGGTGCTCCTCTTCAGGATTTTTGTGATCCTACTTATCAACAGCGACCGATTCGTCAACTCCTGTGACTTACTGTCACTCTCCCGTGACGTCGTAATTTGCACGGATTTGCCTTTCACCAGAGACTTTTGCCGAAGCTGTGCCGCACGCCCCGGGGCCGTCGATCTCAACATACGACATCGAAGGACCAAACGGAGAAAGTCTGACCCTTGAAGGAACTTTTAATTTGTTCCCCGAGCTGTGTTACGTTGAAAATTTGAAGAACGTTGTAAGAATGTTTTGTAATATAAAAAACGGGTTAAAAATGGTAAACCTGTCTCAGAAAGTCATTCTGCGCCCACATGACAGAATGAACCGCTCGGCTGTCGAAAAACCCTCACCCTAATCGGCTGACCTCACATCATTAATGAAGTGTAAAAAAGTATACAAGTAAATAAATATGTAACTTCAGTGTCCTATTAAATTTTGAGAATAGTATTCACATAATTCAAATTATTATTAACAGTTTGAAAATTTACAACAAATTTGCCAGTTTAATATTGCAGTCACTTTTGAATAAATCATTAATATTTCTGAAACTTGATGCTTCATCATCAGATATTTAGAGTCAGAAACTGAATGACCTAAAAAGGATTTTGGTCATTTGACTTCGAATCATTATTTATTACGGTTTAAATTAATGACATCTGACTTGAAATTATATAATAAATATTAATTTATTTCGGAACATTTAATCCTAACTCTTAACTCGTAACAATAGCAGAAAAATGATGATTCTGCATTATCTCTTACACAACTTAGATTAATTATTCTTGTAAATTGATCTATGAATTTGTGAAAACATAACGAAATTGTTTATACATAGTAAAACAAAGTTTTAATTATATAAACATAAACAAAATGACAGCATTGAAACATCTACAATTGAGGACAAGAACACGATTACTATTTTTATTGCTCAGTATGCTAGGGTATATTCTTAACAAATCTTCTTGGGTACAAGAGTCTTAAATGATTAAACTTCAGCAACATTACCAATTTCTTTATTATAATCAATTTTTCCTTATTCAAAATAATAATGAGTTAGATATATGATGTTATGGTTTAACAAGAAATTATAAAAATTAGACCTAAAGAGAGTCTACTGGATTAATAAATCCTATGGGTCCAGTGATATAGTGGGTTCTATTGGTTAATACAGTCTATTTGTTAAATAGTTTCTATTGGATCTAAATTTCCATTTAAGCTATAAGCTGTAGCTTTAAGTTGTAGCCTCCCACATAAGAAAAAGGACGAATAATGAATCCATTCGTTCGTTTTCTAATTGGTATCTGGTTAATTACTTAATAATTTTAACTAATAAAATTCAAATGGTTTCTCTGTTATATAACACAAACTTCTTAATTTATTTTAGGTGATTATATATGAAGAATGTGACATTTTTCTAGTAATAATGCCCTCCATAATGTCTGCGAGGGCCTTTTAAAATGCCATCGCAGTAAAAACAGGATTCGAGATTACATGGGATTTAATGTATCCAGATTAGTGTATAGTGAAAATTCCCCTGAATACAAAACTAGATCCCTTGGAGTGGCAACCCATGCTTTTGCCATCTATTATCTATTTTAATATGTATAAATGAGCTTATAGTAAAATATATAAAATCTAATTAAATAATGAAGATACTTTTTTTTTCTAAATTTTTCTACTTACCACCATGCACAAGATCTACATTATGAGTGTGAGTGAAACTACTAATGATGGTTATTGGAGGCGAACATTTCTGGAACAAAAGAAGAGTAGTGGATTTCCATTTCTGAAATAGACAAATGTACATTTAATTTTAACATTTTTTAAACTTGTTTCATATCATATAATTAGTGTGTGTATTTACCAGTACATTATTACAATTATTTTAATTATTATTTTACAAATATGGTATGAAATATTAATTACATTTAGTTTAAAACAAACATATTTCGTAATTAAATAAAGTTAATTAAAGTTATGAAGTAGATCGATCAAATTCGGTACAAAATTTTGTATTGTTTACAAAAAAAAATCTCTAAAAGTTTATAACTTTTTTGTTTCAAAGTTAAGAAACTTTACACGAATACTTTTGTTCGAACTGGGAATGTTAACAAGGAATAAATGCCAATTTTGTTGCAAGAGTTTTGGGAAAGACTAAAATGTGAACCGACTGGCATTGTTTAATTGTCACAAATTATTACATAACTTAGTTTTCTACTCATAACATTTGGTAAAACATTTAAACACTGCACATATTATTACATTATCTGTTCCTGAAAGTGTCAAGCAAATTAAAATAATGACACACGACTTTGACTTAAGAAGATTAGACGTAGAAAAATAGTTTTCCTTTTTGCATACAAGCAAGATAAACTATTAAATGGTTAGAGTTTTATAAGTTAACAAACACAACCTCTTTGTGAAGATATCCATTCATATTTTTTACTCATCAGAAACTCTAGTCTCTGGCTTTAAAGAATATCTGCTTTTGTGGAGAGGAATATTTCTATTCTTCCTCTGTAAAAGAAAATTTCCCTTAAAGCTAGAGACCCAGAATAAAATATGCAAAGTTTTTAATGAGCAAAACTCACCAACAACATCTTTAACATCAAAATTCAACTCTATCCTGATTTGAAGACTTCAGATGTAGATGAAAATCTAGTCTCTGATGCCGTACTAGATACAAATCTCAAAAAATAATAAGTACAACAAAGTAATCCTAGGTTTACATTGTAAATCTATAATAAGGAATAAGTGGTTTAAGATAGAAACAAGCATGCCTTTGCCTTATCTGGAATTAAACCATCTCCAGTATCATCAGCATCAATGAATATCCATATTAATTTAAAAATAATGGAATAAGAATTTAATGTATTAAATATGTCAAATCAAGATTAGTTGTAATGATCATTCTTGTACATCCCAACAGGAACATTTTTATATTTATCAAAAATAATTCTTCTTCTAAATGGAGTCATAGAATAAAATTGTATAATAATTTTGTTTCTAATTTCTGTATAATGAAAATTAAATAAAGTTTTTGAAACAATTTAATTTAACACGAACAGAGTAAGAATCTCTTGTGATTTTACTCAATGCATTTAAAATTGATAATTTTTCATTCAAGTAATGAAAATTGATTTCGACAAAGCTGTTATTTTATAACTTTGCTCGATTCTCCAAGGTTTATAACTCGGATTTATCAGTTTTCCATCAAGACAGGAGGAGTTATAATGCCAGACTTTGATGAAAAATTGAAATAAAAACTTGATTTTCAATTATAAAAAACAAAACCTTTTTATTTATGATTGACATTATTTAATTACATTTCTGTACAGTACTGTTATTGGTAACTTTGCTTATAGTTCTTGTCAAAAAATCTGTAAATTTGTAGAATTTGCATATTATTCTATACAGAGGTGTACAGAAATTATTTATTTTTTATGGTGGTTACAGTATCCGTAAATACAAAACTAAAATTTAGGCATATGTTCTCTTTCCTAGTCTATTCAAAATTTATTTGAATGTAGTAGATCCACACTTTTATGACACAACTTCTTCTTTGAAGATCTGTTGTAAAAGCGAATCACATATTTCTTGTAAGCTTTGTGTAGTAAATTGAGTTAACATTTTTGGAGTTATAACTAAATATAGTAATACTACACAAAAACACCTGTAATACATCAGTTGATACAAACATCATAACAATGAAAATTAAACAAAAGCTGTGCAACTGTCCCTTACAATAAAAACCAAAATGAAAAACTTCTCTCATGTTCTACCTTGATGATAATCTAGTTCATTCCTGTTCGTCGGGTGATAATATTTTACAGGGCTTGTCTGTAATATGGTCAATGAAATAAGCTTGTAATAGCATTGAACAAAAGTAAGTCTTCTGATAAATCATAATATCAGTCCTATAAGCAAAGGGTTGCATGATAGTTTCTTTTTCCAAAGTTTTGTGTCTGTACGCTGTATATAAACTTATTTTGTAGTAACATCCAGTGGAAAATCAAGTACTCGGTGGGGTCCCAAGCACAAACCTACTTTTCAGGGGCCCTTGTTCTAAATAATGTTATCAAGCCAATTTATTATTTAATAAAAAATACTGATCAGCCAATTGTTTCCTTAAAAGTATATCTCATAGATGGTACCCAAGGTTTGCAGAATATATCTTTTCGAAGCTGCTAACTTTCAAAGGTCCAAGTGACAATCCGCCGCCACTGGTAACCTTGTAAAGATTTGTCAATAGAATATTAGTATCAATTCTAATTCTTATAATTTATCAGTCACAGAAAATGTAACTCAAAATAACAACATACATCACAAAAGTATAGATTTACTAAACAATATTTATATCATTTAGTAAATCTACTAAGTATTAAGTAATTACATATTGTATTATATGAAGAGCTACTTAATAGTTTGTGCATAGTCAGCAGGAAACTAACTTAATCTAGTGACGGATGAGAGGAAATGTAAATCTCTCTCTCTCTCTCTCCTAATGACGTTCACGAAAGCACAAAGTATCGAACCACCTATCCTATGGGTTAGCATTTATTAACAAGGGTGTAAGGGTGAGTAGTCACTACTACATCATTCTAATACATGAAACCTTAATGTCACCAGTTAGGAGGAGGGAAGTCCAAGGCACATACGCCAAATTAACTCACGAATAATCGACTCTACATCGGAATTATCTAGTAATAATCCCCCAACCGAAGAATTTATTAATTAGGTATCATGTCGATCGCTACTTAATTAAGTCCAAATTTATGGAGACAGTAGGAGGATGTGTTAAGTCAATATCTGTAGAATGCATCCAGTTAGTTGCTTGTCCAGAGTGGCATTATTTTATAAATTAGCGAGGTTGAGGCCGAAGTTTTCATCACTAAAACACGTGAACGCCGAACGTCGAGCGCAGCTATGTTGTAAATGCGCTCGACGTTCGACGTTCACGTTTTAGAGATGAAAACTTCGACCGCAACCTCTCTATATTTAAAATTGATTTGCCTAGTTGCAGTTTGATACAAAACAATGTGATTTCAGCAGTGTTAATTATATAATTTTTGGGGACATTTTTCACAAGTAGATTAGATTTTACGATTATAATTTGTAGTATATTTTGCTCGATCACAGAGGAAGCAAGTGTCCCGTTTGCTCCTCTGCGGATCCATGAATACAGTATTATTATTGATGAGATCGATTACTTTTTGGTACGTCCGTGTTACCCTACGACCAGTAAATTATGCGATCGATCAGGATCGATCGCCATTACAGACTTTGGTCAGGTGTTATACGATAAATAAACAACCTGGAAGCAATGTAGATGTTTAACATTGCGTCGTAAAAGAAGAAAAACATCAGCAATCACGAAAAAAAATCGGTTAACCTTGTGTGGAAAGCTAATTAAGTTAATTGCATTGATCAGGTAATCGCGTTAGCCTTTTACACCGTTAACTGGTAATTTTTAATACGTGAAATTACCATTCGGGTGTGATTTAAATTCAACAGTTTTATAGAAGGAAACAGAATAAAATAAATAAATAAGAGTGTTATAACGCGTAAGGAAACTAAATGCGAGGCTCCAAACAAATTATTATATATTGAAAGGCCTTCGAAGAGCCTTTCTTTTCCTTAAAATATTTATTTACCATACAAATTTGATGAAATTCGAAAAGAATTAAATCGTCATTTTTAAGAAAATATATTCCTTTTAATTTTATTTCTTTCATTTTGAAATATAATAAATTATTCATCCTCCAGAATTTTAAAACGAAAGTCAAATCTGCAAAGATATTCCAAATCTTTAATTATTTTCGCCAAAGGATAACAGTGCATTTACAATTGAATTAGAAATTTAAATAAAGAATTCACTGAAAATGACTTGAATATAAAATTAAGGAAACTTCTGGTGTTTTTTTCTTTTCCTCCTCCCTGGAAGATAATTAAAATATTTCATAATTTATTTTTGAACGCTTCTAATGTTATAAATTACAAAGCAGTGGCGCGTTATAGCTTCACTAAGCTCAAGGAAATTTAAATTAGGAGGCCCCACGTAAGTTGACTTCACACATTTTTCTTATAAAACATTAGTTGGGGCCTCCTGTTGCGAAGACCCCAGGTAAATTTCCTTTTTTTTTTTGCCCGTAAGATAACACGCTGCTGTGATAAAGATTACAGGTCTTTCAATAGATTTTCACAAACTAAATCGAGTTAATTGTCGAAATCGATTGGAACATCTCTAATTTTTATCGTACGAATCGATTCTTTGCACAACAATGAATCGATTAGTTAACGAAGAGGAATCAATATAATGAATAGATTTAGCATTTATTTACTTCCTCAGCTGTTATATAACAGAGGAAAAGTATGGCAAATGGTTAAAAAAATGTTCCCCTTACAAGAATTTTACATTTTTGAGGTCATGAGACCTTGAAACGTTCACAAATGTGAGGGATTTTTTCTTTATGGATGCCGATGTGTGTGTAGGAGGAGGCACGATTTTGTTCACCCACTTCGAAGCTTAATAACTCCTGTGACTTTTGTTGAACATTTCTGAAAATTTTCAGGGAAATCGGACCGTTAATTCGGGAAATATGGCCCCATTCCATTAATAAATCCCGAATCAATTTGAAGGCTTATAAAGGTAAAGATAGAAATTGTTAGGGATGAAAACAAATAAAGAATGCCAGAAAAGTACTGCAGCAACGTTTCCAAGCTTTTCATTGATTGATATTTATGAGAAAAATAAGAATGACCTTAAATTAATATAGAAGTGAAAAC